TCTCTCTCTCTCTCTCTCTCTCTCTCTCTCTCTCTCTCTCTCTCTCTCTCTCTCTCTCTCTCTCTCTCTCTCTCTCTCTCTCTCTCTCTCTTTCTGTTGACAGGAGCTAGCCGAGGGAAAATAGTGGGGAAGATAAATAACAGGTAACTGACAGCTTAGACGATGGCCTGTCTGAGCGGCTGGAGAGGAAGGGGGGGGGGGGGAGATGGGCAAGAGAGGGGGTAAGGGACGAGAATGAGAGGGGAGATTGGGCAAGTGGGTAGGGAAAGAGTAGAGGGAAGGGGGTGGGGCATGTGGGGTAAGGAAGGGTTAGAAGGGAGGGGAAGAGGAAGGGGAGAGTGGAGGGGAAAGTAGTGGATGGGAGGAGGAAGGGTAGAGACAGTGGTATAAAGAGAGGGAAGGGTACTTGGGCAGGAAATGAAAAAAGGAAGAGAGAGAGAGAAAAAAAAAGATAAAGGAAGAGAGAGATAAAAAATGAAAGGTAAAGGAAAAAGGAGAGAGAAATGAAGAAATAAAGCAAAGGGAGAGAGAAAAATAAGATAAAGAAAAGGAGAGAGAAAAAATAGAGATAAAGCAAAAGGGAGACAAAAAAATAAAGAAATAGAAAGAAAAGAAAAAAGCGAAAAAAGGGGAAAAGGGGAAGAGAAGGAGAGACTATCTCCTGAAAATGGCCGTGTTCAGTTACCAAAAAAACCCAACTTGGCCCGGCGACACTAACCATATATAGTGAGACCCAAGAACAGAAAAAGTGAGAGAACAAAAGAACATCAAAGAAAAGTAGAGAAAAAAGAAAACCAGAAAAAAAAATGCGAACGGAAAGGGGAAAAGGAGGAAGAGAAGGAGAGACTATCTCCCGAAAATGGCCCGTGTTCAGTTACCAAAAACCAACTTGGCCCGGCGACACTAAGCCATATATAGTGAGACTCCCAAGAACAGAAAAAGTGAGAGAGACAAAAAGACGAAGACATCAAAGAAAAGTAGAGAAAGAAAAAAAAAAAAAAAAAAAAAAAAAGCGAACGGAAAGGGAGAAAGGAGGAAGAGAACGAGAGACTATCTCCTGAAAATGGCCCGTGTTCAGTTACCAAAACCCAACTTGGCCCGGCGACACTAAGCCATATATAGTGAGACTCCCAAGAACAGAAAAAGTGAGAGAGACAAAAAGACGAAGACATCAAAGAAAGTAGAGAAAAAAAGAAAACCAGAAAAAAAATGCGAACGGAAAGGGAGAAAAGGAGGAAGAGAACGAGAGACTATCTCCTCCTGAAAATGGCTCGTGTTCAGTTACCAAAACCCAACTTGGCCCGGCGACACTAAGCCATATATAGTGAGACTCCCAAGAACAGAAAAAGTGAGAGAGACAAAAAGACGAAGACATCAAAGAAAGTAAAGAAAAAAAAAGAAAACCAGAAAAAAAAACGAACGGAAAGGGAGAAAGGAGGAAGAGAAGGAGAGACTATCTCCCGAAAATGGCCCGTGTTCAGTTACCAAAAACCAACTTGGCCCAGCGACACTAAGCCATATATAGTGAGACTCCCAAGAACAGAAAAATTTTAGAATCAATGCCCAGCCATCCATTATGCAAATTCCTGCAAAAACTCTCTTTGCCAAAGCGTATACAAATCGATAGGAGGGATTGGGGACGCAGTGAGTTGGGGACGGAAGGAGAAAAAGGAGGAGGAGGAGGAGGGGGAGGAAGAGAAGTGAGAGGAAGAGGAAAGGAGGAAGGAGGGGCGGAGTGAGTAAAAAAAAAGAAGAAGGAAGGAGGAGGAGGAAGCGGGAAAGGAGAAGTAGAGGAAAGGAAGGAGGAGGAGGAAAGAGGAAGAGGAGTGGAGTGAGAAAAAAGTAGGAGGAGGAGGAAGGAAGGAATAGAAAGTAGTGGAAGAGGAAGAGGAGGGAGGAGGGGGACGAGTAAGAAAAAGAAGAGGAGGAGGGGAAGAGAAGGATAGAAGGAGAAGGAGAGAGAAGGAGGAGAGAAGGAGAGATGGAGTGGAGAAAAAAAAAGAAGAGGGAGAAGGAGGAGGGGGAAGGAGAAAGTAGAGGAAGAGGAGGAGGAGGAGGAAGGAGAGAGAGAAGAGAGGAGATGGAGTGAGTAAAAAAAGAACGTTGAGGAGGAGGAGGAGGAGGGAAAGGAGAAAGTAGAGGAAGAGGAGGTGAGGAGGAGGAGGAGGAGGAAAGGAGGAAGAGGAGGAGGAGGGAAGGGGAGGGAGGAGAAAGTAGAGGAGGGGAGGAGGAGGGAAGGAAAGGAGGGGAGGAGAAGGGAAGGAAAGGAGGAAGAGGAAATGGAGGAGGAGGAGGAAGGAAGAGAGGAAGAAGGGAAGGAGAAAGAAAGAAGAGGAAGAGGAAAGGAGGAGGGAGAAAACGGAAGAAGGAGGGGGAGGAAGAAAGAAGAATAGGAGAAGGAGAAAAGCAAAAAGAAGAAATAAAACACAGATACGAAAATGAAAGCAAGAAAGAAGAAAGAAAAGGAAAGAACGAAATAATCTTAAAAGAAAAGTTTGAAAAGAAGAAGCAAAAGGAAGACATGACAGAGACACGTGAGGTCATAGGTCATACCCATCCCCTGAACGAGGTCACACATACCATGACCAGACTGAACACGCTCTTTGTGGACACTTGAAATGGTCATGAAACCACATTACCCAGGATAGATATTCTCCTTAAGGTGCTGTCACACTAGCATCATCTTNTTCCTTATACGTTTTATCTAAGCTAATTGTATAAAGAATTTCTGTCATCTCCGTCCAATACACCACCCAATACGTGACAGAGACACAGACCGTGCCCCATTATGTGACGCAGACGCAGGCAGAGCCCCACTACGTAATGGAGACAGTGCCACAGTACGTCACCACAACCGTCCAGCAGGAGTACGTCACGGTCGACCAGTACTGCAAGTCATGTTATGGAAAGACGGTTTTCTACATTTCTTCCCGCTTGTGAAACTCATTAATGCACTCCTTGGCCCCTTTTAATGAATATTTTTTTCTCAGGTTATGGCTACCACGGCTGAAAAGCAGACCAATTTCCTTATCTACTATGGAGAATATTGTATAATTCTTAATAAAATTATTTATTATTATTGGTATTTTCATGAAGGCCCTTTATACAAAGATTTCTTTTTAGCACACATCAAGAAACTCATGCTGGGTATTGAAGGGTAATCCGCTTGATAATTTAAAGGGTATAACACAGTACGGTAGTCAGTCGCCCACGATCATGTGTTTGAACAGAAACAAGATCAGTTTCTCTTCCGAGATGACTTTAAGTGTATGGCATACAATCGTCTCTCTGTCCTTCTAAAATCCTTGTCAGGAGTGGGATTCGAACCCACGCCCGGAAGACCGGACTGCGACCTGAACGCAGCGCCTTGGACCGCTCGGCCATCCTGACTATATATTAGTATACTGTGCAGTGTCTGTAAATTATTTATTCACATACATGTGTGGAAGGAAAACGCAATTGTTATGGTACTGACAACGACAAAATCTTTATTTCGATAATTAACAAAATGTCAGTCACAATAATGAAAGATATGTGATACGATACGATATTAGTAATGACTACAAAATTATTGATGGATATACTAGGGAAATATAAGTCAAGGATAATCAAGATTAAATGTTCAACAATAATAAAGGTGGTGATGATACCCATCCCGATGTTGACTGAAGTGATAACTTTTGTTATTGCTACCTTTATCATTTTCATATTCAACATTATCACTTTCATTGTCATCATTTCCCAGAGAATGTCCAGTGTCACTCTTATTATCATTACCATTACATGTAGTATCCTCCTCTATCAGCTCTGCTCTTTGGCAACCGACAGAGCATCACCCACATATCCACACATAAGCCTCTTTCTTTTCTGCTTATTTCATGCATTGATAGATCGGCTTATTTAAGACGATATTCAGGCAAAGGCACATTATTTACGATCCTGTGTGTGCATACATATAAAGTATATATATCTGTTATTTGTCTAAATACGGTGTATATAAAAATGATTTAGACAGATGTATACAGATGTGCCTTCCTACCGCTAAGGGAATATAATTCCGTCGGGTTTGTAGCAACGAGGGAGGGCCTGTGTACGTGTCTCTGAGGTAAAAGCTTGGAGGAGGATGTTGCACAGCAGTCACCATCTTCTGTGGTCTCCGGAGTGACATTCGTAAATGCCAAAGGAAAAAAAGAAAGGAAAAGCCCCATACGGAAGAAAGTTCAAAATTGTCTTTCAAATATGGCCTTTAATAAACGAGTAATATAGAATCAGCGATTCGACAGTGACCGAAGGAAGGAGAGCATGTCTAACAAGGGTGCTCTTTCCTCTTGTCAAATAACAGAGATGATGATTGTGGAGTTCAAACCATCAGCTTCTTTTATTCCTTCAAATTTGGAGCTCAATCAACCTGTTTCTACTTTCATTTTGATCGTCAAGAATATTGTATACACAAAGGAAGACAAGTAATACCTGATATCGAAAACATCGTTATTTCAGTTTGGTTGATCTTCATAAATAATGTCACTGGGAAATAGAGCTGAATATGCTTAATTTCCAGAAAATAATAAGGTCAGAAATTCCTTCTTCATCATTTTCAGTATCTAATTTCTAGGTGTTGAGTATGATGCATATGCCTTGCTTATCCTCAGGACTCCGTTTGCTATCTTTGTGTTTGAAGTAAGTTTTAATATACATATAGACAAATATATTTATATAAATATGTATATATATGTATATATTTATACACATACAATCACATACATGTACACATACATAGGTCATGCATACATACATATATATGCACACACATATCTATCCAACTACATATACAATATATGTGTATTTAGATTTCAAGTGTGCATATGTATATATGGACATGTATACTTTTCCACTGCATTACACTGTATATCTATTTGGAAAAATCCTTTGACTAATGTACTTTTGAACTGAAATTTCAGTACAGCATTCTATGCTATCAAGGAATGGGAAACATAAAGTGTTTAAAGAGTGTTTATTAAATTATAAAACCACTCCTTAAATCCACCGTAGCCTGTGGAAGTCGAAAAAAAACATTGTATATCCTATAAAGAATCATGATCAAAGCAAAAGGATTCTTTGGCAATGCTCTAAGCTGGAAATATCACTGGTTAAGGATCACTTGCCTCCTGAGCTCGGGCATGGCTTGGTGACGGTGACGTGCTGCGTCTGGTACTGCGTCCTGGTGACGTACTGAGGCACCGTCTGGGTGATGTACTCGGGCACCGTCTGCGTTCGGGTGACGTAGTGTGGCACCTGCTGCGTTTGGGTGACGTAGCGTGGCTGGTACTGCAATGGGAGTGCCTGATGTTATATTGCAATAGATAAAACTTAAATACGATATTTTAAACGCCGGTCGAAAGCATTGGAATAGAGCATTTGAAAGAACATGGAACAGAGTGAGAGCTTACCTGCGTCTGGTACTGCGTGTGCGTCTGGTAGTGGGTTGTGGTTACGTACTCGGGCACGGTCTCTGTGCGGGTCACGTACTGGATCTCAGGCTGGCACTTCTGTGGGCGAGAACACAGGGGATTTAACTCGTATTCTGCGTCAGAAAGTATATTGGGCAAGATTTCCATTCCCGATATTCAGACATTTACAGAGGCGTGACTCACAGGGGCCTGATAACCGTACTGGGTCTCAGGAGCGCCACCACCACTGGCCATCAGGGCCGCCGTCAAGAGAGAGCTGGGGAGAAAAAGACACAGTACCAAACAGCGGTAAGTACCTGTCAACTATATTTTGTCTAGTTTTGCTCACACCTTCAGGTAGTTCAGTAGAACAAAGGTATTTACTCATTTATACATCTTGATTTCTCCCATTATACTGGGTATGAAGGGTAATCCGCTTGATAATTTAAAGGGTATAACACAGTACGGTAGTCAGTCGCCCACGATCATGTGTTTGAACAGTGACAAGATCAGTTTCTCTTCCGAGATGACTTTAAGTGTATGGCATACAATCGTCTCTCTGTCCTTCTAAAATCCTTGTCAGGAGTGGGATTCGAACCCACGCCCGGAAGACCGGACTGCGACCTGAACGCAGCGCCTTGGACCGCTCGGCCATCCTGACTATATATTAGTATACTGTGCAGTGTCTGTAAACTATTTATTCACAGATGTGCCTTCCTACCGCTAAAGGAATATAATTCATCGGGCTTTGTAGCAACGAGGGATGGCCTGTGTACTTGTCTCTGAGGTAAAAGCTTGGAGGATGTTGCACAGCAGTCATCTTCTGTGGTCTCCGAGTGACATTCATAAATGCCAAAGGAAAAAAAGAAAGGAAAAGACCCATGCGGAAGAAAGTTCAAAACTGTCTTTCAAATATGGCCTATAATTAAAGAGTAATAAAGAAGTACAGTGATTCGACAGCGACCGAAGGAAGGAGAGCATGTCTAACAAGGGTGGTCTTTCCTCTTGTCAAATAACAGAGATTATGATTGTGGAGCTCAAACAATCAGCTTCTTTTATTCCTTCAAATTTGGAGTTCGATCAGTTTCTGTTTCTACTTTAATTTTGATCGTCAGAAATATTGTACATATAACAGGATACAAGTAGTACCTGATATCGAAACATCGTCATTTCAGTTTGGTTGATCTTCATAAATTATGTCACTAGGAAATGTCGCTGAATGCTTAATTACCAGAAAATAATAAGGTCAAAAATTCCTTCAGCATTTTCAGTATCTAATTTCTATGTGTATTAAATATGATGCACATACCTTTCTTACCCTCAAGACTCCGTTTGCTATGTGTTTGAAGTAAGTTTCAATATATATATATATATATACGTATATTTATGTATTTATACACATACAATCACATACATTTACACATACACAGGTCATACAGACACATATGCACACACATATCTATCCATCTACATATACAGTATGTGTGTATTTAGATTGCATGCGTGCATATGTATATATGGACATGTATACTTTTCCACTGCATTACATTGTATATCTTTGGAAAAATAATTTAACGAATGTACTTTTGAAATAAAATTTCAGTACAACATCCTATGCTATCAAGGAATGTAAAACATAAAGTGTTTAAAGTGTTTATTAAATTATAAAAGCCGATTTTGAGACTCAAATACCACGGAGATTCCTCGGAGTCCTTAACCGTGGTATCCACCGTAGCCTGTGGAAGTCGAAAAAAAACGTTGGATATCCTATAAAGAATCATGACCAAAGCAAAAGGATTCTTTGGCAATGCTCTAAGCTGAAAATATATCACTGGTTAAGGATCACTTGCCTCCTGAGCTCGGGCATGGCTTGGTGACGGTGACGTGCTGCTTCTGGTACTGCGTCCTGGTGACGTACTGAGGCACCGTCTGGGTGATGTACTCGGGCACCGTCTGCGTTCGGGTGACGTAGTGTGGCACCTGCTGCGTTTGGGTGACGTAGCGTGGCTGGTACTGCAATGGGAATGCCTGATGTTATATTGCAATAGATAAAACTTAAATACGATATTTTAAACGCCGGCCGAAGGCATTGGAATAGAGCATTTGTGAGAGCTTACCTGCGTCTGGTACTGCGTGTGCGTCTGGTAGTGGGTTACGTACTCGGGCACGGTCTGTGTGCGGGTCACGTACTGGATCTCAGGCTGGCACTTCTCGGGGCGAGAACACAGGGGATTTAACTCGTATTCTGCGTCAGAAAGTATATTGGGCAAGATTTCCATTCCCGATATTCAGACATTTACAGAGGCGTGACTCACAGGGGCCTGATAACCGTACTGGGCCTCAGGAGCCGCCGCCACCACTGCCGCCATCAGGGCCGCCGTCAAGAGAGAGCTGGGGAGAAAAAGACACAGTACCAAACAGCGGTAAGTACCTGTCAACTATATATCCTGTCTAGTTTTGCTCACACCTTCAGGTAGTTCAGTAGAACAAAGGTATTTACTCATTTATACATCTTGATTTCTCCCATTATACGTTTTATCTGTTGTTTAAATAATTTTCTGCCATCTCTCCATCCAGTACACCACCCAGTACGTGACAGAGACCCAGGCCGTGCCCCACTATGTGACACAGACGCAGGTAGTGCCCCAGTACGTGACGGAGACAGTGCCACAGTACGTCACCACAACCGTCCAGCAGAAGGAGTACGTCACCGTCGACCAGTACTGCAAGCCCTCCGGAGGTAGGTCGCTCTGAGGGTGCTCTGTCTTCTTGGACCTGATATATGTTATAGAAAGACGGTTCTGTGCATTTCCCGCTTGTGAAACTCATTAATGCACTCCTTGGCCCCTTTTAATGATTTTTTTTTCTCAGGTTATGGCTACGACGGCTGAAAAGCAGACCAACTTCCTTATCTACTATGGAGAATATTGTATAATTCTTAATAAAATTATTGATTATTATTGGTATTTTCATGAAGGCCCTTTATACAAGGATTTCTTTTTAGCACACATCAAGAAACTCATGCTGGGTATTGAAGGGTAATCCGCTTGATAATTTAAAGGGTATAACACAGTACGGTAGTCAGTCGCCCACGATCATGTGTTTGAACAGAAACAAGATCAGTTTCTCTTCCGAGATGACTTTAAGTGTATGGCATACAATCGTCTCTCTGTCCTTCTAAAATCCTTGTCAGGAGTGGGATTCGAACCCACGCCCGGAAGACCGGACTGCGACCTGAACGCAGCGCCTTGGACCGCTCGGCCATCCTGATGTATTAGTACATTGTGCAGTGTCTGTAAATTATTTATTCACATACATGTGTGGAAGGAAAACGCAATTGTTATGGTACTGACAACGACAAAATCTTTATTTCGATAATTAACAAAATGTCAGTCACAATAATGAAAGATATGTGATTCGATACGATATTAGTAATGACTACAAAATTATTGATGGATATACTAGGGAAATATAAGTCAAGGATAATCAAGATTAAATGTTCAACAATAATAAAGGTGGTTATGATACCCATCCCGATGTTGACTGAAGTGATAACTTTTGTTATTGCTACCTTTATTATCACTTTCATTGTCATCATTTCCCAGAGAATGTCCAGTGTCACTATTATCATTACCATTACATGTAGCTCCCTCCTCTATCAGCTCTGCTCTTTGGCAACCGTCAGAGCATCACCCACATATCCACACATAAGCTGATGATCGGCATTCTTAGACGATATTCAGGCCAAAGGCACATCATTATTTACGAATCCTGTGTGTGCATACATATAAAGTATATATATCTGTTTGTCTATCTAAATACGGTGTATATAAAAATGATTTAGACAGATGTATACAGATGTGCCTTCCTACCGCTAAGGAAATATAATTCCGTCGGGCTTTGTAGCAACGAGGGAGGGCCTGTGTACGTGTCTCTGAGGTAAAGGCTTGGAGGAGGATGTTGCACAGCAGTCATCTTCTGTGGTCTCCGGGAAAAGGGGGGAAAAAAAAGGAAAAGCCCCATACGGAAGAAAGTTCAAAACTGTCTTTCAAATATGGCCTATAATAAAAGAGTAATATAGAATCAGCGATTCGACAGTGACCGAAGGAAGGGAGCATATTAACAAGGGTGCTCTTTCCTCTTGTCAAATAACAGAGATGATGATTGTGGAGTTCAAACCATCAGCTTCTTTTATTCCTTCAAATTTGGAGCTCAATCAACCTGTTTCTACTTTAATTTTGATCGTCAAGAATATTGTATACACAAAGGAAGACAAGTAATACCTGATATCGAAAACATCGTTATTTCAGTTTGGTTGATCTTCATAATGTCACTGGGAAATAGAGCTGAATATGCTTAATTTCCAGAAAATAATAAGGTCAGAAATTCCTTCTTCATCATTTTCAGTATCTAATTTCTAGGTGTTGAGTATGATGCATATGCCTTGCTTATCCTCAGGACTCCGTTTGCTATCTTTGTGTTTGAAGTAAGTTTTAATATACATATAGACAAATATATTTATATAAATATGTATATATATATATGTATATTTATACACATACAATCACATACATGTACACATACATAGGTCATGCATACATACATATATATGCACACACATATCTATCCAACTACATATACAATATATGTGTATTTAGATTTCAAGTGTGTATATGTATATATGGACATGTATACTTTTCCACTGCATTACACTGTATATCTATTTGGAAAAATCCTTTGACTAATGTACTTTTGAACTGAAATTTCAGTACAGCATTCTATGCTATCAAGGAATGGAAAACAAAGTGTTTAAAGAGTGTTTATTAAATTATAAAACCTGATTCTGAGACTCAAATACCAGGGAGATTCCTCGGAGTCCTTAACCGTGGTATCCACCGTAGCCTGTGGAAGTCGAAAAAATCATTGGATATCCTATAAAGAATCATGATCAAAGCAAAAGGATCCTTTGGCAATGATATAAGCTGAAACTATCAGTGGTTAAGGATCACTTGCCTCCTGAGCTCGGGCATGGCTTGGTGACGGTGACGTGCTGCGTCTGGTACTGCGTCCTGGTGACGTACTGAAGCACCTTCTAGGTGATGTGCTCGGGCACCGTTTGCGTTCGGGTGACGTAGTGTGGCACTGCTGCGTTGGGAGACGTAGCAATGCAATTGAAATGTCTGATATATGATATATATGTGTGTGTGTGCCAGTGCCTGCTGCGTTTGGGTGACGTAGCTTGGCTGGTACTGCAATGGGAATGCCTTATGATATATTGCAATAGATAAAACTTAAATACGATATTTTAAACGCCGGCCGAAGGCATTGGAATAGAGCATTTGAAAGAACATGGAACAGAGTGAGAGCTTACCTGCGTCTGGTACTGCGTGTGCGTCTGGTACTGGGTTGTGGTTACGTACTCGGGCACGGTCTCTGTCCGGGTCACGTACTGGATCTCAGCTGGTAATCTGGGAGCGAGAACACAGGGGATTTAACTCGTATTCTGCGTCAGAAAGTATGTTGGCAAGATTTCCATTCCCGATATTCAGACATTTACAGAGGCGTGACTCACAGGGGCCTGATAACCGTACTGGGCATCAGGAGCTGGGGTAAGTACCTGTCAACTATATATTCTGTCTAGTTTTGCTCACACCTTCAGGTATGTTCAGTAGAACAAAGGTATTTACTCATTTATACATCTTCATTTCTCCCATTATACGTTTTATCTTAGTTGTTTAAATAATTTTCTGCCATCTCTCCATCCAGTACACCACCCAATACGTGACAGAGACCCAGGCCGTGCCCCACTATGTGACACAGACGCAGGTAGCGCCCCAGTACGTGACGGAGACAGTGCCACAGTACGTCACCACAACCATCCAGCAGGAGTACGTCACGGTCGACCAGTACTGCAAGTCATGTTATGGAAAGACGGTTTTCTACATTTCTTCCCGCTTGTGAAGCTCATTAATGCACTCCTTGGCCCCTTTTAATGAATATTTTTTTTCTCAGGTTATGGCTACGACGGCTGAAGAGCAGACCAACTTCCTTATCTACTATGGAGAAAAGCAGACCAATTTCCTTATCTACTATGGAGAATATTTATAATTCTTAATAAAATTATTGATTATTATTGGTATTTTCATGAAGGCCCTTTATACAAGGATTTCTTTTTAGCACACATCAAGGGTAATCCGCTTGATAATTTAAAGGGTATAACACAGGCGGTAGTCAGTCGCCCACGATCATGTGTTTGAACAGAAACAAGATCAGTTTCTCTTACGAGATGACTTTAAGTGTATGGCATACAATCGTCTCTCTGTCCTTCTAAAATCCTTGTCAGGAGTGGGATTCGAACCCACGCCCGGAAGACCGGACTGCGACCTGAACGCAGCGCCTTGGACCGCTCGGCCATCCTGACTATATATTAGTATACTGTGCAGTGTCTGTAAATTATTTATTCACATATATGTGTGGAAGGAAAACGCAATTGTTTGCTTTGTAGCAACGAGGGAGGGCCTGTGTACGTGTCTCTGAGGAAAAAGCTTGGAGGAGGATGTTGCACAGCAGTCATCTTCTGTGGTCTCCGGGAAAAGGGAAAAAAAAAAGGAAAAGCCCCATACGGAAGAAAGTTCAAAACTGTCTTTCAAATGTGGCCTATAATTAAAGAGTAATAAAGAAGTACAGTGATTCGACAGCGACCGAAGGAAGGGAGAGCATATCTAACAAGGGTGCTCTTTCCTCTTGTCAAATAACAGAGATTATGTTTGTGGACCTCAAACAATCAGCTTCTTTTATTCCTTCAAATTTGGAGCTCAATCAACTTCTGTTACTGCTTTAATTTTGATCGTCAGAAATATTGTACATATAACAGGATACAAGTAGTACCTGATATCGAAACATCGTCATTTTAGTTTGCTTGATATTCATAAATTATGTCACTAGGAAATGTCGCTGAATGCTTAATTACCAGAAAATAATAAGGTCAAAAATTCCTTCTTCAGCATTTTCAGTATCTAATTTCTATGTGTATTAAATATGATGCACATACCTTTCTTACCCTCAAGACTCCGTTTGCTATGTGTTTGAAGTAAGTTTCAATATATATAAGTATATTTATACACATACAATCACATACATTTACACATACACAGGTCATGCATACATACATATATGTGCACACACATATCTATCCATCTACATATACAGTATGTGTGTATTTAGATTGCATGCGTGCATTTGTATATATGGACATGTATACTTTTCCTCTGCATTACATTGTATATCCTTTTGGAAAAATAATTTAACGAATGTACTTTTGAAATAAAATTTTAGTACAACATTCTATGCTATCAAGGAATGTAAAACATAAAGTGTTTAAAGA